TTTTTTTTTTTTTGACTTTTGCAAGTTATGTTATCATTGATTTAATACTTCAAAAATATTGTTATGAGCAATAAATAAGTTGCATTAGGCACACAACTATTAATAAGAAAATTGGAAAAGAGGCTTAAAAAATAAAAAAATACTCATTTGGTTCCATATCAACAAAGCATAAAACAAAATAGCATTAACAATGAGCCCCCTAAAAAAAGAATATCACAAGCTTTTAGATCTTTGTGAATGCTTTTCCAAATATGAAAGCAAGTTTTATAAATCACATTTTGTACTAAACAAATTTAAACTAATCGACACTTGGAACAATTTCATATACAACAATATTATGACAATAAATATTCATATTATTCCAAAGATAGATATTATTTTGAGTGATAGGCATGTTAAATATAACATTAATGCAAAAATCAAAAACATTAATGTTATGAGAGAAGCTCTAAATGTCTTTCATGAAAACATCATTAAGTTAATTATAATTTGAAAGATTAAACTATGTAAATAAGAAATCTCCAAAGTGTTTATTTGTTTATTTATTTTGAAGTAATTTCCAAATAAATTTGAGGGGCATTTACATGCACACCACATAATATTTATACATTCACATGTCTAAAATCTAAACTTTGATTTCTAGATGCACACAACTCAATTCTTTGGGATTACATCAAAAAGTGAAATAAACATTTTCATGCATAGGTCTATACTACCAAAATGTTATGAATCTAAATATCAAATTTTAGGTGTTAGATATGTAAATATGTAAGAATTAGGTGGCATGTATATAAATTTCCCCAAATTTAATAATTTAAAAGCCCATCCTAAAAAATATTTATTTGGTGTTTCCACCTAGTCTAGTATTTTAAAATATTATTTGTACTTGCATGTATAATTAGATGCTAATTAATTTTTAACCGTGCTTTCAAATTCTTGCTAAACGTGATTAAGTTCACTAATTAAAAATCAACGGAATCATTATTTGGGTCAAATTTAATGTTTTGACCGCACAGAATTTATTTTATAAGATCATTATTTTTTATTTAATTTGTGACACCTAGTCAATTTTTCTCCAACGACCGCAAGTCCGCTGCCGGACAACTCGCCACGTGCCCTAGGTTGCTGTATGTTTTATTTTTAATTTTCTCATACTTTCATTGATTTAAATATGAAATATTATGGTCAAAATAATGATGAGGTGGATGGAACTTGATCTTTGAGGAATCAAATTTGGCGTCTTGTTCAAAAAAACAATAAAAAATAAAACAAAAAAATAAATATAATTTCTGACTATTTTAAAATTAAAATTTAATAATTATTAAAATAAAGAAATCGAGAAATAATTTGACATATCTATAAAATCTTGGACTAAAATGATATAGAAATAATGATGGCACTTTACTTGTTAATTAGCAGGCCGGCAGTTCAATTTAATTAATAATGGATTAAGTTAATAAAAAATACTCTTTGCCTTGGGAGTGGAAGCCACATGGCACATCCTAAATCGGTCACGTCTTATTACTTAAAACAGGGTGCACTATGCTTTACGCGTGCCGCTAGACTTTTCAATGTGCATATAAAAAAAAAATCTAATCTTTCATATTTATTAAAATTAATATTATCATACATCAAATTTTATTTCATATATAAATAATAAGCACTGTATTTAAATTTATATTATAAAATAAAAATAATAATGAGAGAATATATATCACATATTAAATAGTTGTGAAGCTGTGTGATAAATAGATAAAACTGCGGTATCGTGCTAAAAAATTATTTTTATTGAGTAAAGATAATGAAAAAAACCTTAAAATCAATATGTGCTATAGAATGAGTTTATAATTATTAAATTTATCTTGAGATGGCTATAATATAATTTATATTATTGCATAATCAATTTTCACTATTGCGATGCAAGTTATTTCGAAGAATAAAAATGTGGTTTGCATGAATTATCTTACTTGAAAGGATGGCTAAATATGAATTTGTTTAATAGCTATAGATTATTACAGTCTGAACCAAAGCTTCGCAAAAGATAAATTTAAAAAAGAATTTAAAATTAAAGTTTCGGAGACCCACCTGGGCACGACTCCAGGGCCCGTTGGGCCCGTTGGGTCCGTTGGGCTCCTCCTCCTCTTCTATATAAAGTAAACTGCGGCACCACACGTCCCCTCTCCCCCTCCTCATCTATATAAAGTAAACTGCGGCACCACACGTCCCCTCTCCATACCATTGTTGAGATCATATCTGATATTCTTCCTGCAGCTCAATACCACCATTCTTAAGATGGAATCGAGCTTTAACACTGCAGAATTATCCTCCTCCTTCTTCCTCATTCCCTTTGCGCTCTGCTTGATCTGTCATCTGGTGATGATGATGAGGAAACAGTGCAGAAGGAAAGAAGGGCTGCCGGAGAAGCTGCAGCTTCCGCCGGGCTCCATGGGCTGGCCGCTCATCGGAGAGACCTTTCAGCTCTATTCTCAGCATCCAAACATCTTCTTCGCTACCAGGCAACAAAGGTATGTATGCTTCATTAAAAAAGATAATATTGGATAAGATTAAATTTTGATAAGGTTGGACTTCGAAAGTTTATATTTTGCTTAGAAATTTAGGTTATATGAGAGTTCTTTGATTTTTACTCTCTAAATAAAGCAAAAAATGTAAAATTTAATTTAAATAAAACCCCACAGCAAATGTTTTTTTACATAACTATTATCGCAAAAAATAAAAAAATTAAACATTTATCTCTATACTGAAACAAGTTTTAGTGAGGATGACTAAATACAAATCCTTCACAAATAAAAATATTATATAAATATATCCAAATCTTTCATTTTAATCATGTTTCATATTTCCTTATTTTCTCATAATAAAATCTTCTAAAAATTTTAAACTCTGAGTAATCAGTTTCTAATAATTTGAACAATGATAATATTTTGATCAAATAAATCATCTAAACTTCAGACTCACCAAGATAAAAATTTGATCATAATATTTTTAGCCAATTTTTCACCTTTTTTATTGTTCAAATTAAAATTTTTCCTTTTCAAATTCCAATCTATAAAACTCCCCCACAAAATTAAACTCAAATATCCTCTATACGTGCAGTATAGATATATAGTCTAGCCTAACCATCTTTCTTCTCCTTTGCCAAACAGGCATGGCGAGATATTCAAAACTCACCTTCTGGGGTACCCCTGCGTGATGCTAGCAAGCCCAGAAGCCTCACGCTTCGTCTTAACCACCCATTCCCACCTCTTCAAACCAACCTACCCCCGCAGCAAAGAACGCTTAATCGGCCCCTCAGCTCTCTTCTTCCACCATGGCTCCTACCACACCATTCTCCGCAAGCTCCTCCGCACCTCCTTCTCCCCTCTCGCCCTTCGCCGCCTCACCCCCGCCATCAATTCCGCCGCCTCATCCACCCTCCAATCCTGGACTGGCCGCACCCTCTCCTCCTTCCACGCATTCAAAAATCTCTCCTTTGACATCGGCATCCTCACCATCTTCGGCGAGCATCTAGTCGAACACATGCAAAAAAACGAGTTGAAGCAAAACTACTTCATCGTCGACGACGGTTACAATTCCTTTCCAAACCGCATTCCGGGGACTCTGTACAGCAAGGCGGTGAAGGCGAGGAGGAGGCTTGGGGAGATATTGGGGGAGGTGGTGAAGGAGAGGAGGGCGAAGAAGAATGGAGAGATGAAGGATTTGTTGAGTAGTTTCATGGAGTGGAGGGGGGATGAGGAAGAGAAGCTGAGTGATGAGCAGATCTGTGATAATATTATTGGGGTTTTATTTGCGGCGCAGGACACTACTGCAAGTGCGCTTACGTGGGTTGTTAAGTACCTGCATGATTATCCGAAGTTACTGGAGGCGGTAAAGGTAGGCATGCGTCGTTATTCGTGCGAAGAATTTTAACACGCATTTATTGATTTTTGTATGACATTTTAAGGGAATTTGGTTGCAGGATGAACAGATGGCGATTTTTGATTTGAATGATGGGGGAAGACGGCCATTACAGTGGGCTCAAACGAGGAACATGTGTGTTACACATAGGGTATGTTGGAAATCAGTACCATGAGAAATGAAGACTTGATTTTTACTCTAAATAATTCGCTTTGTATATATATATATATATATATATTGCAACAAATTTAATTAGAGTAAATTTTAAAATTATAAAATTTGGTTTGAGATAAATGAAACAAAACGTAGCATTCATGTGAAATTTTTTAACAATCGAACTTATGTATTTACATGTACAATTAGTGCGGACTAAAAATTACATTTTCATATGAAAAATGTAGTGATCAGATATAAATGTGATATATTATTTATGGAATATGTGTAGAACGAGGACATGTTCATGATCGACAAGTACTCCTTGAATTTAAGATTTTTCTATATAAAAATAGTGAAACTTAATATGTTTTTTTTATATAGTTTAAACAATTTATTAATTTTGCACCCCCTCAATAAATTTTTTCGCCCAATTACTCCTTGAATTTGAGATTTTTCTATATAAAAATAGTGAAACTTGATATGTTTTTTTTATATAGTTTAAACAATTTAGTAATTTTGCACCCCCTCAATAAATTTTTTCGCCCAATACTTACATAAATAAATAAAATACTTAAATAAATAAATAAAAACATTTGTTAATTTTGCCCAATACTTTCTAATTCTCTAGTTCCACCCTGATTGGTAATGGCTATACAAAAAAAAAAAAAAAAAAAAAAAAAAAAAAAAAAAAAAAAAAAAATTTTATTTAAAAAAAAAAATTTTTCCTAAAATTAGAAAAGTAAATCAGGAGAAAGTTCTCAACAACATTAAATGAATTCTCATGCATTTGCAGGTTATATTGGAGAGCTTGAGAATGGCAAGCATCATCTCCTTCACCTTTAGAGAGGCAGTTGCCGATGTGGAGTACAAAGGTAACTAATTTACCTATTAATGCACTTTTACTCCTAACTAAATTCTTTAATTTGCTCATTAATTAATGAAAACATTACAATATTGTAATTAAGCCGATTAAGCTTTAAGTATTTGTGTGCACACAGGATATCTGATCCCCAAGGGATGGAAAGTGATGCCTTTGTTCAGAAATATTCATCACAACCCTGAATTTTTCCCAGATCCGCAGAAGTTTGACATCTCTAGATTCAATGTATGTGCCTTTTTCACATTTATTTTCATTTAAATGGCTGTCACGTTAATTAATCTCTTAAGCTTATTGTTGATGCGACATGTTTAAAATGAATACATATTTTATCGAGTCTAATCTTTCTATTGCATATTAATTTCTATTTTCAATAAAACATCAATATTTTATTTATTCTAAAATAAAAAAACAATTTGGGTGATATTAATTATTTCTTATATCAAAGTGAAATGACATTATGCGAAAAGCAACAATTCAAGCAGTGAGTCATATAATTATTGAATATATCAAATATTTTCAGTTCTGTATTTAATGCAGAGTCTGCATTAAAGATTAATTTGATATCTAATTATAGCCGTTGGATCTTCATCCAATGGCTGCAACACAATAACACGTGGATCACATGTGTTTTTTTTTCTCTTAAAGATGAAAAAGAAAACCAGACTTGCTTATTTTAAAAAGATACAGAGAAACTAAATAAAATAAATGTAAATAGTTCAAAGGATTAAATTCCTTCTCATCATCAGCGGCTAAACTTTTGCAGGCCTCTCCCAAGCCCAACACCTTCCTGCCCTTCGGAACTGGAGTCCATTCTTGCCCTGGGAACGAGCTTGCCAAGCTTCAGATGCTGATCTTTATCCACCACTTGGTGACCAAATATAGGTCAGTTTCAGTAATACATATTATGTGCAGAATCGGCACGTATTTGAGATATTGTGGTGGATTTTATCACAATTCCACCAAATAATATCAAATTTACATGTATCTTAATTTTTCTTCTAGTTTCAGACACCATAAAGTCATTTATATCTTCCTAATTAGTAACTCTTTAATCTAATAAACCTTTAAATTTGCTTTCTACTGTTTCAGATTCGAAGTGGTGGGATCTAATAGTGAGGTGGAGTATTGCCCGTTCCCGGTCCCAAAGCACGGCCTTCCGGTGAGCCTACGGAGCTGCTCCCACGAGAACGGCGGCAGGCAATGAGAACACACAAAAGCGCCATGTTTGCTGGATGCCACTTATGTGGCCCAACGGCTAGTTTTCAAGCACTGGGAAGAAGATCATACATCGCCTACTAGTTATTCTTTCTTCCTTTTATTACCCTTTTTGTTCTGGGCTCATAATACAATTATTGTGAGGTCCACCGGAATTGTGTAAATTAGTTATATGTGTAGATTGTTTTGCAATGTTTTGTACATAATTTTCTTCTCTTTTTGGGCTCACAATACAATCTTTGTGAGGCCCACCACAAAAATGCAATTTGTAATATATGCAATGTGCTGCTGCTTATCCTTTTGTCTTTCCACTCATAATACAATCACTCTCTCTCTCTCTCTCTCTCTCTCTCTCTCTGGGTGCATCCTCACTTTGCGAGACATATGAAATCATTTATTCTCATATCACTGATTCTCTATCATCTTAAGTATGCCTGATGTGCTGCTACTCAAATTTCAAAATTTCCTCCACTTCATCAACAATATGGAAGTTCGTTAAGTTTGAGTTTATAGATATTCAAGAGCCATTTAAAATAGTTTAAAAAAACAAAAAAAAATAAATAAATTAGTAAGCTAAATTTCATGTACTTAAATGCACTACTTTTAATGTCGAACATCATTTCAGAGGGTACAAATATTTTGAATAAATTTGCGAGGCTTTAAAAATTTTGAAAATTTACAATATAGTTTATTAGGGAATTATGGAGTTCTATCCCAACCTTGGTTAAGTGTTAATGACATTTAATAATTTATTAGTTTTCTTCTAATGGCATAAATGAGTTGAGACAACTGAAACCTAAATTGCTAATAAGCTAACTACTTTCATCTTTTCAAACCATTAATGCATGCTCAAGCTCATATTTGACCTCATGGATTAACTGAGCGCTTGAATTCATGCTTAATGACACTTAACTCGTAAGCATGAGAACTAGCACAATTAAGGAAAATATTTGGGGCATTATAGTTTTAGGTTGTTCCGAAGTACCATCTTGCTTATCACAAAGTCGTCTCTTCTCAACAAAGTAGTCACAACATTTCTTCTTTAGTGAGCTCCCATTATAACTTCCTCTACTTTTGCAAGGAGAAACTATTGTTCTCACCAATGCTTTCTTAAAAGAGATCCTACTGTAACTTACTCTGTTAGTCTTGTCAAAGCCTTCTATTAAGTATGACTCATATACTAGATAAGGGACAGATGCTGGAGCAGAACAGAGCGAGCCAGTGGAGCAGAGCTCACGAGCGGAAACATCTATCCAATCGAGAGAGCTTCGTTAAGTGAGTTGGGACATTATAGTCTTAGGTTTTTCCAAAGTACCACCATGATTATCACGAACTCATCTCTTTTCAACAATTTAGTCACAACATTTCTTCTTTCGTGAGCTCCCATTATAACTTCCTCTACTTTTGAAAGGAGAAACAATTATTCTCACCAATGCTTTCTCGAAAGAGATCCTACTGTAAGTTACTCTGTTAGTCTTGTCAAGGCCTTCTGTTAAGTTTGACTCGTACATCAGATAAGAAACAATTGCTGGAGTGGAATAGAGCGAGCTGGCAGAGCAAAGGCCTTCTGCTAAGTTTGACTCGTACATCAGATAAGAGATAATTGCTGGAGTGGAATAGAGCGAGCTGGCAGAGCAGAGCTCGTAAGCTTAAGCATTTGTCAAATCGAGGGAATTTCGTTAAGTGGGTTGGGGATGTGGGGACAACACTCTTGTGGTACGATACAAAAGGTAATTTTGTAATTATATATTTTAGTGAAATAGAAAAGAGCCGAAGTATCTGTCCAATTGAGGGAATTTCGTTAAGCGGGTTGGGGATGTAGGGACAACACCCTTGTGGTACGGCACAAAAAATAATTTTGTAATTATATATTTTAGTGAAATAGAAAAAGCGGTTGCCGCTATTCGCTTATGAGAAGACGTAGGCATCTTGCCCAGCCTCATTAAATCTCTGTGTTTGATCGTAATTGCTCGGTTCTTGATTCTTGCGTTTCTTTGCGATAATTTCTAAATACCTTCTCTTGTAAATCACTTAATAATGTTCTTCGCTGGTTCTCATCAATATCTCTTATAGCAAAATGCCACCGCAACTTCCTCCAAAGAGCTCTCGTCATGATTTTGTTCGCTGATTTCATTGATCTTTCTCCAATGAGCTCTAGCAACTTGGCCCATCGAGCCAAAATTTTCACCTATTATTTTGGCAAACAATTCCATCAAGATAGACCCCGCCAATCGATCTTCACATCATCTCCTATGATTCCAACAATAAATCCTCGGCGGATATGTATAAAAATGAGACATTTTAGCCGCACATTTGTTGCAAATTTACTTGCCAAGATTATCGATCACTACACATCAAATCATCATGACACGTAAACTATATAAAATTAATTAATTTCAAAGGATAAATGTTAGTAATATAGCAAAAACTATTGTAGCATTTATATTTAAAGAAATCTAATGGTTACAATCATAAATATACAATAAAATGATCGTCCTTTTACTCCTAACTCTTATTATTTTTTATTTGTCTTTACATCCTTATATTTATCTTCTAGTTGTTTCCTATTATATTGTTGTTGTTGCATCACACTCATGAGAGTATTAAAATCTTAAATCAATGGGGCTACCTAATTTTTCTTCACCTTTTGAAATATATTTTCCGCCCAACTTGGATAAGAAGCACATACATATACAATCATTAAGTAACATCTCCATTGTTTGGCCCTATAAATCGAGAGATTATTCCATACAGACACGCATGTATCTCTGCATGCGGTGTCCGATCATATAGACTCAGATTATAATTACATAAACTTGTTTAAACTACTTTTTTTTTTCCCTCTTCTAAAATAAAAGAGAATCAATCAAACATAAGTTTAAAAAATAAAAACAATTTACCATCATATAATAAAGGCTTGTTTGGGATTAGTTTTGTCTTTTATTTTTTTTTTAAGTTTTTATTTTTATTTTTAAAAATTTATTTTAGCATATTTTTTTGCATGTATTTAATTTTTTATTTTAAAAGTTAATTAACTTGTTTTTTTAAAATATACTTGATACGTCAAAAAAAAAATCATATTGATTTATACGAATCTCGATGCATATTTTCACTAGAAGCTTCAAAAATTAAATTAAAAAAAAGGGTCACACTCCAATTTACGATCAATGGAGCATCTTACTGAAATGAACCAGAAGATAAAAAATGGTTCGATCTGAGTCCAAGTGAGCCCGGTTAATGTGCTTAAAGTATACTTAGAAGCTTCAAAATATATTTTGGGAGATCAAATGATCTTCGAATTCGACAAGTTTATTTTTAAATTGAGTGCCTCGATGACACAATCCAACGAGCCCAATATCACTTGTTTCTCATGTCATTAAGACACTTAAATGCTCATAAAATAATATTTGATCATGGGAATCACTCTGGGTCTCCCGATGGAGTATTTTAAATATAATTCAATATGTATGAAGGGTCCCACTCACAAAGTCTATAAATATACCCTCACTCTTTTCCTTAAAGGGGTCATCACTTAAAAGACAAGGCTTAAAAAGCTCCAATCTCTTGAGTATTTTCATGTTACACCATCACTGACTATTATCGTCGACCTCCACCACAGTCCAACCATCATTGTCAAGCCTCCATCGTCACTGGAACAACACTGCCAAATCGCTATCGCCTCCTGCTGGTACCACCACCATTATCGACCTACCCCCACCATCGAAGCACAGTTCCCTACAGGCCCGCAGTCGCCACCGTTGGTGCCTTCACAGAAAGACCACAATAGCCTGACAGCCGCCACCGCCTCTGCTAGTACCACCATCGTCATCAAGCCGCTACTGAGCCACCTTTGCTTGTCATCATCAACGCCAGACCATTGCTGCTAACCACCGTCATCGTCAAACCACTGCTGTCCCGCCACCACAACCATCGATGTCGCAGAATCACCGCTGCTCGACCAAAACCTCCACTGCAGTTGGCAATGATATAATCATCAAGTTGTCACCGCCACCAAAACAGTTTGCTCGACATCCATCACCGTCAAACCACTACTACCAGGTCACCACCATTATCAAATTATCATCACTCAGTCACCGCCTTCACCACCGGGCCCTATTCACCAACCCTCAATCACTAGCAACACTGACATTAGATCTCCATCTTACGACCCCCATCGCGAGTCTTCCATCATAGTAGTCGGGTCGCTACCACTTCATCAATATATTCTATCCCTAGTGAAAGTCAAGTCGGTCGGTAACCTCTGCTTGTGAAATATTGCTCTCAACTCTTTGAGGTTCAGTAAAGCCTTGTAACTCACAACAACATGGTAAATAATTTTAACTAAACCAAGACCCGTAGTATTTACACATTTTGATTTTTCACGTTAAAACTCATGTTGTTCCCTCAATCAACTCTTATTGTATCTGTGTGTGCGTTGGGTCTTCATACAACAGTAGGATGTTACTATCACTTTTCTGCCGCCAATTCTCCAGCACACAACGACACTCAAAATAACTAAAACTTATTTTGAGTATTTTTAAAATTAATTAAACTTGTTACAACCTATCAAATATAATTTATTTTAGGTAAAATATACAATAATTAAATAATAAAATAAAAATAAAAAATTATCTCAAATGACTTATAAGATAAATAAATTAGTTATCAATATTCAAATTTTTATTATTAGATATTGACATATTATTACTAATTTAAATTATATACAAAAATACAAATAAATTTAGATTAAATGTATATATAACTGATTTCATAAACTCACAAAAACAATTGTACGTGTAAGTACACATCAAAGAAAAACTGAGAAATGTTGATCCATAAAATATATAACCAGTATAACAAAAGAAGAAAAAAAAATGAATTTAATGCTATGGAATCTGCATATTAATAAAACATAATTTATTACTTGTTTGTCAACAATGATCAAGACTGTTTAGTGTCTAACTTTAGTCGTACTGTTGTTATTCGACAAGGTTGACATTGTCGCCCCTCTCTATCTTAAGAGAAATTATTATGTGTGGCGACCGCACGTTAAGACAACAGTCCAAAGTGGTTGCCATGAGAGCCACGGCTGCATGACCGCATTTTAACCGTCGTCTGGACGTGTGGTCAGCCACACATAATATTCTTTCTTTGCATAGACCATATTTATACACACCCAGACACCCATCATTGAGAGAATAAAAGCCTAAAGATTCCAAGGATTATAAAATAGAGTTTCTAAGTTAGCTTTACTTTTATTCAAAATTGATCCGATACGAAAATGCTTAACCTGAA